AAAACCAAATGGGAAGTGTATTTGAGCAGTTGATACAGTATTCAGATTGTCCATCGTTTTGCACTAGACACAACTCTTGGTTAAGTTGAAACTTCAGTCCACCTCTTAAAAGTAAACAAAATATAATACATCGTGTTTGGGGGAAAAAATTTCTTACTTTCTTCCTTAACCACATCAGACAACTACTTCAATCGTGTTTTAGGATTAAATGAATTTTGCAACAAAATTTGCTTTTTCATGGATATGCCTAAATCCAGATAATATGCATATTTACGCTAAGGAGTGTTTGATCGCAAACGACACTATCCAGAGTTTGAGTCCCGCTTAGTTGCGTTTATTCAATGCTCACGAGGTTAAATGATCAGTTCGGTTTGGTGAGAAAGCCATTACGGACCTTTATTTACAACAAATATTCATGCTATTTTCGTTTTGTAGTAGGGCCTCGAGACTACTGGAATTTCTCGAATAATAAATGTGTTCACCCTATTCTGTTTTAGCATAATGAACGACAGGTAGTTGAATTTGCCCACAGTTACAAGAGTAGACCTTAACTTTGCATTGTTGTTTACACCGCCTCGCATTGGTCTCATCCGCACTCGCAGCGGAACTCGAATCAGGGTTGTAATGACTGACTGCAGCGTACAGTCCGGACACGTAAACACATTGCTTGCGCAAAAACCAATTCATACACTGAAACTATTTAATGCAGCCAATTACTGTAGCAAATACAACTTCGTAAGCAAATCCATCATAGAAATGTGATATAGAAAGGTTTAGGCTTCCATGAAATTCAAGTCTGTCCTGGGACCCAAGGAGACTTGTGGCGGTTGGCGTAGTTGTGAACGTTTCGTGATTATACACTAAACTAGCAGGGCCCAGGTTCGAGTCCTGCTAGACATGCTGATGAGACTGAGACGAGGTCGAAACCCAATGGAGATGTAAGGCCTACCAACTAAATGTGGGAAAATGCAACTAATCATCAGTCATCAGCCAATTCTGCTTTTGCGTGGACTATTTTACCCGTTCAAAGCTGTTTTTTTCAACTGCAGAGGTCCATTATACAAATATCCACCTCATTGGAGCCCTTTACTTGATAGTTTATGGTTGAGCCCAGAACTGGCCAGTCTGCTGAGGCTTCCAGAATCCGTTTTGATGCCAAATAGCAGCAAAAAAGGCCTTTAGAAGTTTGCGCCTTGATGGACTTCACGTTGATCAAAAGTGTGTGCGTGTGTGTGTGTGTGTTGCTAAAAATGTCCAAGTCTGTCAAATATAAATTCTCGTCTTTCTATCTTGAATAAAAAGTTGGCTGAAAGCAAGTGATGAATTGGTCTCAAAGGAATCTAAGGAAAGATTGCTGTGCACTGACCTCGTTTTTGCAACTTATTCGTGTTGTCAAGGCGACTTGGTTGGATTCGCCTCGTCCGGAGTCCTCTGTCATAGTAGTTGCCACAATTGCCAGCGTCGGGAGGTATCAGATCCGCGCTCTTACGCTTTGAAATATGATTGCTATAGCAGAGGACTTCGGACAAGGTGCGTCCCATTCAGTAGCTCTGACAACACGATAATGTTGCGAAAATGAGATCACACCATTTCTATAGATCGAAAGGAGTCTGTTACAATAGCTTGATCTTCGCATCTGTACTCAAGGATTGCCTCGGATTGGAGAAAGGAGCCTTTTGGAGTGTGTTCTAAGAAGACATGCACTCCGATAAACCCGTGCCGAGTCGTTGTCTGTACGGCCGTGACAGACTTGTTCAGAGCAAAAACCATCCTTTCCAAAATAGAGCAACAAGATGATAAACCAAATGTATGCCAAGTTTAGTCGATTGGAGCGCATTTCGTAAGCTCTGGTTTTTTCTACTGACGACGTTCTTCAAGGCAGTACAGACAAAAACTTACCGTCGGTCCATCGGAGGGTCACGAAGGTAGACCGAGGATTTGTTCAAACAACCAAACGGTCTTCACTCACCTCCGCGGCATTGCTCACCTTCCAACTAACTTCGCCCTCGAAATGAAATGTCTCGACTTTGCCTCAGAACTTTACCAGAAGCCCTTACGGAACATGAATCGTGGATCTACATTGAGTTATTCAACAGGCATGACTTAGAGGCAAAGCTGGCTTCTTTGATATGAGAAGAAGTATAAATGCGAGCAAAAGTTGTGTCTCGAGGAATCTCTTGTTTCATAATTGTTGAGCTTACTTCACTTTCGAGTGAAAGTGTTGGGTGAAGAGATTAGAAACCTGATCTCACCAGAGTACGTCGATTGACTTTACTGGAACATTCTTGTTGACGCTGTTTCCGTCCATCATGACAATCAAATGGTGCATGCAGACAACACTCAGATTTCAGCTGACTCCAACCGACTGACTACTGACTGGAATTCAGTAGCATATCGAATTTATTGAAAGCAACAGGTCGGCCAAGTGTAAAGCTAACTTTTCATTTCGAGTAAAAGTGCTGGGTATGAAGAGATTCTAAGTTTGCTCACGCCAGAAGGCAACGGAGGATTCCTTTTGACCAACGTCGATTGACTTTACTACAATATTCTTGTTGACGTTGTTGCCAATGTAATCTCTATTGAATTGCGGTGAAAAAATGCCAAGCTTTCGGTCGTCGTATGATGAACATCATCAGAGCAGGGCAGCATCCTTACAGCCATACTCAGACTAACGAGTCAAGTTAGTTAATTAGAATATGGTCGTAAAGATGACAACCCGCTCTAATGAGATACGCCATACAACGGACGAAAGCTTAACATGTTTTCACGGGAATTGAGAAGATTGCCTCGGAGACAACGTCGACAAGAATGCTCAAGTACAGCCAATCGACAGCTGGTCAAGAGGAATCCTCCGCCGACTTCTGGTGGGACCAATCTTGGAATAGCTTCACCAAACACTGTCACTCGAAATGGAAGTAAGCTCAACAATTAGGAGACCTGTCGCTCGCAATAAATTCGATATGCTACTGAATTCCAGTCAGTAGTCATTTGGTTGGAGTCAGCTGGAGTCTGAGTGCTGTCCGCAAGCACCATTTGCTTGTCATGATGGAAGAGACCCCGTTTCCGCATCCACCGTTCGAACCCCGCCAAGGCGGTTGACAAGCTGACAAGGCGGGATCGGGACTGTCAACCATGCGGCCAATGGCAATCGGGCCCTATAGCAACAGTCGAAACCGCTGTCTGTTGGTGTTGACCTGGACAGCTGATGATGATGAGGATTAACATCATTCTGGCCAATTGCATCTCGGAGAAGAATGATGGGGATTGTTAACGAAATATCTGTTCTATAAAAACAAAAAAACAATGACCTCCTGTGTCTGTGAACTCTGGACCTGCAAGTGTATGAGGCAGGAGCCGTCAGGAGTTGTCATGGCAGCACAGGCAACAGCAACTAATCGACAGTGATACCTCTTGCGACTTGGCCTAGCAATTAGCTTACACTAATGGCCACGACAACCATTCATTGTTTTCCCCATTGAAGGGAAGGCAAAACCAGGTAGGACAAAAGTAGTGTTAGGGGGACTTCCATTTCGTATGAAAGTGAATGGAGATAAGTTGGGTTTCGAGGAATCTCTTGTTTCATAATTGTTGAGCTTACTTCCATTTCGAGTGAAAAGATACGCCGTCGTGTTCTGGTGGAATTGACCTTCGAGTCTCTTCACCCAACACTTTCACTCGAAGTGGAAGTAAGCTCAATAAAAGTAGTCTGGTTGATTGGCAACATGTGGAGGTGATCCGTGATCTGGCTGGGCAGAAGAGCGAACGGTAGGGAGCTGTGATGTTTCGAGTGTACAGTACAC